GAGAAATATGGTTGATAAGAAGCACTCATGTAATATCCATAAAAACCATTCTATTTAGAATTGGTTGGCACCTCAAGTGTTCGAGTGAAGATCATAAGACTTGAGAAGACTTTGGTTGCGGCCATCATAGATGAAATCCTGGTTGTGGATTCTATTGGGTCAATGGTAGTCAAATCTCAAAGGGGACTGAGTGAAGGTCAGCCTTCTGAGATTACCGATGGATATCATTGGAAGGAAATCCTGATAGGAGATTCTGGAGAATTGGATTTTGTTGGGTCAATGAATGTTATATCCATTTGGATCCTTGAACATTTCATTGGATGTTAGTCATTGGCGGTTGTCCATGCGATAGTAATCAGAATGATTATATTGGATTAAGTCTTGAGTTCAAAGAGAAATCACCTTGGAAGGGTGGACTGGATTAGCTTGGGAGTTTCTCAAGTAAACCAGGATATATCGCGTGTTCTTTACTTTTGCTTACGCTTTAGATTTTATGTTTTATGAACCAAATTAGAAGCATTAATTAGAAGCAACAATCAGAAGCATTGTTCAACGGATGATGCTTAGAAGCGAAAGTTTTACAAGAAGGGAAAACCCAATTCAAACCCCCATTTCTTGCGTTTTCTTCACACCTTTATTATCATCCTCATTCCATAAGTTTTTTGGATTTGGTACGGTAGCACCATCAACAACATATGTTACCGGTGTTGGAGAATTTTGAATGGCCTCCCAAACACCTTTGTCATATGAGTTGACATGAATTTTAATAAAAGCTTTCCAATAACTCTAATTTTCTTCCGTGAAAATTGAGGCTCTTTTATAATCCCCTTTAGGTTCGTAAGCCATTTTCTAAAGAGTGTTGAAGCCAAAATGAATCGGACTCTTGATGGCCACTTGTTAGACACCGACAGTGTATCTAGAAGGGGGTGAATAGATACCCAATTAAAACTCCAGAAAATTCTGGTTTTGAAAAATTACTTTTTGAAGAGTTTGAGCGGAAGTGATTATCAAAATAAGTTGTCTATATGAATGTTATTGGAAACTCGGATATACAAATTATTAACAAATAGAAAACAGAATTAATATGATAAATTGTATTAATAGAGCTTATATCAAGTAACACGTTATTTATCATTTGTATCAAGTTACTAGTAAAGCTATTTCCCAAACCAATATTCAAAAGAACAAACACAACCAATTTGTCAAACACTTGTTGTGCAAGTGAATTTTAAGAATTTTTCTTTAAGTTGTGGTGATACACAAAAGCACTTATAATCAAAAGTGATTATAAGAAATATCAACACTTGATGTAAATAAAAAACAGTTAGGAAAGTTTCTTACAATTCGATTGATAACACAATGCTATTTGACGAATTAATTGATGAATATTAAAGCAAGTAAAAATGAAAATAAAAGAGACACAATGATTTGTCTTCACAGTTCCCCACTATCGTCCTCACGTGTGGGTACGTCTGCGCCTAATTCCAATGGAATTAGGATAATTCTTACTATGCAAAAAGTTGATACGAGAGAAGTGTTCAGGAGCAAATCCATAAACCCTAAGCTTGTTGTTGATTCAACCCCTTCTCCTTTTTTGATCTTGATAAAGACCAAGACACAATAGATCCTAATTGAGTTGTTGATATTTCTACCTCTTTGCGTTCTTTATCTCCAAAGCTTTCACACACGAATAATCAAATTGTATCTATTGCAAACACAAGACTTCAATTGTGATCTATCTTTCTCGTGCTACTTCCTTTTCATTCTTTATCTCCAAAGGATCCCTTGCATTCTTTATCTCCAAAGGACTTCACTTAATCGCAATCACCTCTTGAACGTCTTTCCCAAAACCCCCAAATCAACTAATGATCTTGTAGGACAAATCAACGGTTTTTCCAGATGAAGAGCCCTATAAAGCTCAACCTAATATCTTCGACTACACAAGAACCTAATCGGACGTTATCAAACCTTGTTTAGATGGCACCCCAATTTAACATTGTTACAATGTAATGCTAGTGTGTATGCATATATTTGAGGTTGAAGATAAAGAGTAAATGTAGGCTAATTTTATCGTATCACCAAGTTATGAATGATGCATGAATGATTATTTATAGTTTGGAACTTTAGGGAAAAAAGGACAAATTCAGAACTGAAAAGATTTGAGATGATTGACCAAACAATCAGTATGTGTCAACCTATAAATCGTATGTGTCGACACATACATTATTTTTAAGATGTATGTGTCGATTTATGTGAGGCTATGTGTCGACCTAACCAAGTCAGAGGCTACAGGCTTTAAAACAATAGTAAATGTATCAACCTGAAATCGTATGTGTCGACACATAAATTAAGAATTTCTGCAATTCCAAAAATTCTTCATTATGTGTCGACCTATACAATGCATGTGTCGACCTGAGCCTTCCAGATGCTACAAGCTTCAAAAATGAGTTACATGTGTCGACCTGAAAAACGAGTGTGTTGACACATGCAACAAAAATTTATGCAGAAACTCATTTTTAATGACTTGGATCAATTTCAAAATGCTTTTTAATGATTCCTAAGATCTCTAATGCAGAGGTGTGCCACAAGACATAAGGATATTGCCAAATATACAAAGGTTCTAGTTCTTCTCAGTTTTGACATCATACAAAATATCAATTGATATAGTTGTACTCACAGTGAATACACAATCGATTTTTCCATTACAATATATTTGCATCAAGGTTCAACCCTAAACCTTATCTTCTTACTTTACTTTTAGATGTACTCACAAAGCACATTCAAGAGCTAGCACCAAGAAGTATACTTTTTCTAATTGATGTAGTCCTACTTGGAGAGTCGAAGGAGATTTAAATGAGAGGTTGTATACGAGCTTTAGAAACACACGACTTTCGCCTAAGTAGAAGTAATACAAAATATATAGAATGTAAATTCCGCAAAAGGAGAAGTATTTCTAACCTAATGGTGAAATTTTGAGACCATATCATCCCACAAGTCACACATTTTAGATATTTTAGGTTCGTAATACAAAACGATGAGAAATAAAAGGGGATGTAAACCATCAAAATCAAGCGAGTGGCTGAAATGAGGGAGGGCTTCATGGATTTTATGTGACACAAAAGGTAGCGCTAAAGCTGAAGGAAATTTTTGTATAGGATTGCGAACCTACGATGTTATACGAGACAAAATATTATGCAGTTAAGAACCAACACGAGAATAAAATAAGTGTAACATGTTTGCATAAGTTGCGTTGAATATATGGTAAGACTTGACACGATAGATTATAAATGACAATACTAGAGAAAGTGTTGAGATAACACCTATAGCAAAAAAGATAGAGAAAAATAAACTTAGATGATTTTGACACATAGAAATAAGACAAGTAGATTTTATGGTAAGAAAAATAAATATAATTGAGAAGAGTCAAACTAAAGAAAGAGGAAGATTTAAAAAAATTATAAAAAAAAATATTTTAAAAAATCTTAAAATTAACTATTTGAATAAAAGTATATTTCTAGATGTAACATTATGACAAAAATGAATTAACTTAATATAATACAACTTAAGTAATTGTTGTTGTATGTGTTTAATTAAGTTAATAAACTAAAATATGACAAAAAGAACATTAAGTTGAGGTTGATTTAAAGCATAAATAAGAAGAATTTAAGTAATTATCACTCAAAAATAAACTTCACGAGATTAAATACAATAAAAATATTTATTATAATATTATTATTATATTATTATTATTATTTAGTTTGGTTCTAATTTTATTATTTTTAAATAATCTAAATATGGCAATCCAAATTATTATTTATAGTTTACGTGGCTCATAATAATAGTGTCATAGAAAAGGTGTAGATAGGAGCAAGAACACAATTATCGGTTGCTTTTTAAGTTTTTACACAGTAATCAAAGTCATTAATGTCAGAATTGATGGATATTTGAAAAAGAATGTGGATTGTTTAATTTGTGACGTTGGTAAGTTTGGAAACGGTTCACACTTGTCACCTAGACTAGTAATATTAATAAAAAAATACTATAACATTTAATATTTACCTATATTATTAATTATAACCTATACTAAACCTATATAATTAATTATAACTATTTAAAAAAATAAAGTAACGGTAATATATTTTTGAAATTAACAAAATAACATTAACATTTTTTACTTTAACATTTTTGAATAATAACGGTAATATTTTTGAATTATATAAATAAGTTAGTAATTTTATTATAATTTTCATTCACAACTAGTCTATTTTTAAACTATTGATTTTATCTCATCTTAAATTTTTTCTTCTACACATTATTTGTCAATGGATCCTAATCGAAATAGCTCTTGGTCTAATTTTATACAAAATGGTGGTAGTCCTCCTTCTATTCTAAATCAACAAAGCAACCAATTCTTTACAAATGCACCTTTTATCTCAAATCCACATCATAACCCAAACTTTCAAAACTCTCAATTTATCCCAAATCCACAAAATAATCCACACTTTGGAAATTACTCATACTATACACCACCTTATCCATATCAATATCAACAATTTACATCTCAATCAACTAACCCCACTATGCCTCATGGAACTCAAATATGTAGTAGTGGTGTGCAATCAAATGATCAAGAACGTGAAACACGACAATCTTGCACTCAAGGTAGCTTAGAAACTACTAACCTTAGTGAAGAAGTTGCACCTGCACCGGTTGTGAATACGCATAAACAAAGGTTTCAACAAAGAGAGGATGACGTTCTCATTCAAACATGGCTCAACGTTTCAAAGGATTCAATTGACGGGGTTTATCAAAAAGGAGATAGTTTTTGGAAGAGGATCGGCGAATCTTACAACAAGAATCGTGACATTAATTACAAAGAAAGGAAACCGGCGCAACTAAAAGGGCGATGACACAAAATTAATCCATCTGTTCAAAAGTTTGTTGGATGCTACAAACAAGCTGTGTCTACACAACAAAGTGGGAGTTCTGAGAGAAATATCATGCAAGCTGCATATAAAATCTATTTCCAAGATGAAGGTGAAAAGTTTACATTTGAGGCTGCATGGAGATTATTGAAAGATGAACCTAAATGGCTCGCAGGTTCATCCGAAGCTTCTACAAAAAGAAGAAAGAATTCAACTTCAGGAGCATATTCTTCGCCTTCTAATCCATTAACACCAACAAGCAGTGAATACGATCCATCATCACCTACTTTGTCAGGTCGTCCAATTGGTCAAAAGGAAGCCAAAAGGAAGGAGAAAGAAAAGCTTGTGGAAATGTCTTATACACCCAATGTCAAATATGGTTCTTTGAAAGATGACTTAAAAATGAAAATTAATCTGATGTCAATGTTTGCACAGGACTATGCACGCAGTGAGGGTGAAAAACTTGAGATAGAGAGAAAAAAAGTTGATGCAAAGATTAAGAAGGCTGCGATTGCTGAGGAAAGATTAAAGATGAATGATCTACAAATACTCTCAAAAGATACATCAAATATGGATGCAAGACAACTACAAGCTCATGAAATATTATGCGACATGATTAGAGAAAAATATGGAATTAATTAGTATGATTATGTATTTTGAATTAATTAGTATGATTATGTATTTTGAATTAATTAGTATGATTATTATTTTATGCTTAATTAGTATGATTATGTAGTTTGTATTATTATGATTATGTATTATATGCTTAATTAGTATGATTATGTATTTTATTATTATTTTGTATGATTATAAATTTTGTGCTTAACTATTCAAATTCAAACTAGCCGTTATTCAAAGTCAAACTAGCCGTTACAAACTAATCTTATAAATAGTATTAGCATGCACACTAAACTTCATAGTACTTCTTTTCATTCACTACCTCTTTCATTTTCTATAACTTTTTAATCATCTTCATCTATATCAAACTTCTTTTCACATGGATCCTTCTAATCCTTCCCACATTGCAAAAATGTTCATGAATTTTATGAATGATGATACAGATGAAGAACTTGTGAGGTTGTTTATGGAAGAAGAAGCCTCAAGCTCTAAAAGGCCTAGATGTCAAAGAAGGAATATAGAGAGGAATCATGAAGAGGGACATGATCGATTGTTCAATGATTTTTTCAGAAACTCCAGTATACATAAATGAGCAGTTTCGTCCAAGGTACCGAATGCATAAACATGTGTTCCTTCGTATTGTTGAAGCTCTGGGACAACACGATGAGTATTTTTGAATGATGGTTGATGCAACTGGTAGGTCAAGTCTTTCGCCATTACAGAAATGCACGGTTGTTATCCGTATGTTGGCTTATGGAACATCTGCTGATAGTATGGATGACTATTTGAGAATTGGTGAAACCACGACACAAAAATGTGTTGATAAGTTTACAAGAGGAGTGATCAGCATCTTTGGGGCACAATATTTGCGAAGGCCCAATGCTAAAGACATTGAACGCCTAATGAGAATGGGGGAAGCACGAGGATTTCCAGGCATGTTAGGGAGCATTGATTGTATGCATTGGGAATGGAAAAATTGTCCAGTTGCATTGAAAGGGCAATATGTTCGAGGTGATCATGGGAAACCAACTGTTATGCTTGAAGCAGTGGCTTCAAAAGACTTATGGATTTGGCATGCATTCTTTGGTGTAGAGGGTTCAAACAACGATATTAATGTGTTGAACCAATCAAATGTCTTCAACGATGTTCTGCAAGGACGAGCTCCCGAGATTCATTATACAATCAATCGTACTGAATATAACAAGGGCTATTATCTATCAGATGGTATTTATCCTGAATGGGCCATGTTTGTGAAAGTATCCCGATGCCACAAGGTGATAAGAGAAAATTGTTTTCCCAACATCAAGATGGGGCAAGAAAGGATATTGAATGAGAATTTGGAGTTCTTTAATCCCGATTTGCGATCATACGTAACCCAACACGATCTTGGCACTTAGACACACTCCAGCGCATAATGAATACATGCATCATATTACACAACATGATTGTTGAAGATGAACGTGCCACATGTGGTGGAAATTTTTATTTTTCTTATGATCATTTGACCAATGACCCAACAATATTGCCGAATGATTCTAATATTGATTTTCAAGAGTTTCTACGTAGAAGATTTGATGTTCGTGACAAACAAATTCATCGGCGTCTTCAACAAGACTTGATAGAACACATATGGCAACATTTTGGGAATGAGAATGACAATAATTAAAAATTGTTTTAAATTTATCTTTTTCTTATAATTCGTATTAGTGATGCATTTTTGAATTTATGATTTTTTTAATGTAATTTTGATGAATTATTTGTATCATGTATTTTTTATTTAATATATATTTATTTTAACCTTATTTTGAAGGTATGTCTTTTTAATGTATTTTGATATATTTGAATTAATTTTTTAATTATATTTTATGTAATATATTATGGAGTGTATTGGAACCCATTTTAGATTTTTTGATGAGTTAGATGGATATTTGAGAATTGTAGATGAGTTGTTTAAAAAATTGAAAAATGTGAAATAATATAAGAAATTATGTAGGTCTCATTTAAAGAACTCAAATGAGTATGATGGATGTGGATGCTCTAAGAGTGAAATGAAAGTCTCGTCGGTAGTAGCACTGTAGAAGATAATTGCACTTGTATCCAATTATTAAAAGTAAGTGTACTTGCGTACCTACCAATCCAACGACTTTAACACATGGATATGAATATGATACACCACTTAAAAATAAGAGAATTCTTAGTTTGACATCTAAAATGACACCCAACACCGTATTACAATACGGTTTGGTTTTATTATGTTTTCTTTTTTTTGTTGTTGACAAATTATGTTTAAAAAACATTTATTTTTTATTTTCTTCAATACAAAGCATTCATTAGTTCTTTGGAATATTGATACGGTGTACATATGATGTCTATATTATGGATGTTCAAATATCAATGTTGAAACAAAGGATTCAAGAAAGATGAATATTGAGAAAAATAAGAAGAAGAGAGAAGAAGAGAGAGAGAGAGATTGCTGAGTTATTAATGTAACTAACTCTTAAAACTGAAACTGTTATTATTGTTACTGCAGTTATGTGGATTACAAAGTAATGGCCCTTTATATAGGCAACATACCCAGACCCAAATACAAACTAAAGCCCAAATAACAACTAACAAGAATTAACCAACCAACACCCCCCTTAATTCATGTTATCAAGACTTCACATTCCAATGCCTTTCTTTAACTCTTCGAATCTCACTTTCTTCAGAGGTTTGGTGAATATGTCAGCTAGTTGCACTTCTGTCTCGCAATGTTCTATTTCAAGTTTCCCTTTATTTACTTGGTCTCTCAGAAAATGATACATTCATTAAACATGCTTACTTCGACCATGACACATTGGATGATTCGCAAGATTTATTGCTGACTTGTTATCAACAAACAGCTTCATCTTCGATTCCATTATTCTGAGCTCTTCAAGTAGAATTTTGATCCATGCTGCTTGGCATGCAACATATGATGCAGCCACATATTCTAATTTGCATGAAGACAAAGCCATAATGCTTTGCTTCCTCGAACTCCAGGATATTGGAGCTCCTTTGATCATGAAAATGTACCCTGCAGTACTCTTTTTTTCATCTTGATCTCCACTAAAATCTTAGTCAGTGTATCCATGCACTTCGGCCTCTGTACTGTTCTTCGATCCTTTTGGCAACAACACACCATGATCAACAGTTCCCTTGATGTATCTCAACGCCCTCTTTACTGCAATGAGATGACATTTCTGAGGCTTCTCCATAAATCTGCTCAACAATCCTACACTTTGGCAGATATCTGGTCTAGTATTGCAAAGATACCTTAATGATCCAATGATTTGTTTGTAAAGGGTCGAACTTACAAACTCATCATCTGATTCCTTCTTTAGTTTTGCTCCAGTCTCCAATGGAGTAACAATTGCTTTACAGTTGCTCATATTGAACATCTTCAATATATCTTGAGCATACTTCATTTGATGCAAGAAAGCTCCTCCTACTTTGATGTCTTTGAATTCCATTCCCAGGAAGTAGGAAAGATTCCCCAAACCAGACATTTCGAATCCCTGCATTAACTTTGACTTTACCTTCATTATCTCAGCTTCATTTGCTCCTGTAATGAGTAAGTCATCAACATAGAGGCATAAAATGATTCGATTGGAACTTTCGACATCATTTACATACACTCCATGTTCAGAGACACACTTTATGAACCCTGCTTCGATTAGGAAGCTATCTATCCTTTTATTCCAAGCTCTAGGAGCTTGATTCAAGCCATAGAGAGCCTTCCTCAATCTATAAACCTTTAACTCCTTCCCTTTGACATCGAATCCTGGTGGTTGAGTGACATAAACTTCTTCTTCTAGAGGCCCATTCAAAATTGCTGACTTCACATCAAGTTGGTGCATTTTCCATCCTCTATATGCAGCTATCGAAACAACAATCCTGGTTGTTTCGATCCTAGCAACAGGCGCATACACTTCATCAAAGTCAATACCTGGTTGTTATAGAAAACCTCTGGCCACCAGTCTTGCCTTGTACTTTTCAATCTCACCATCTGGCCTTCGTTTCATCTTGTAGATCCATTTCACATCAATTGGTTTCTTGTTGGTTCTTTCGACAAGCTCCCAAGTGTTGTTCTTCTCAATGTCTCTAAGTTCTTCTCTCATGGCTTCACACCAATTCGAATTGCTCAAGGCTTCACCCAAGTCAACTGGTTCTGCTTCAGCCATCATCATGGTTTCTTCGATTAAGTCACCATCAACATCTATTTCTTGATCTGGAAACCTCTCATATCCAGTCAGCCTAGTTGACTCAGTTCTCGTTCTTGTGGATCTTCTTTCATTCTGCACATGTGGTTCTTCATTTCGACCAGTCAAAGTATCACCTTGTTCATTTTGACTTGTCAAAGCTTCATCTTCTTCGAACACAGTTGTGACTGTGTCTGATTCTTGTTGAACTGCACTTAGACTCCAATCCAATCCTTTGCTTTCGTCTACAAGAACATCTCTAATGATCACTAGTTTATCTTCGATTGGTGAATACAACTTGTATGCACTAGTCAAATGATAACCTATGAGCATCATGACTTCACTTCGATCATCCAGATTCTTTCTCAATTGTTCAGGTACATGCCTAAAACACATTGATCCAAAAATTCTAAGATGACTTACATTTGGCTTCGACCCTGTCCAAGCCTCATGTGGTGTCTTTTCAACCATCTTCTTTGTTTGGCATCTGTTTAGAATGTATATTGTTGTCGAAGCTTCTTCAGCCCAAAATCTCTTAGGCATATTCTTAGATTTCAACATATATCTGGTCATGTTCAATACACTTCTATTCTTTTTCTCAGTGATGCCATTATGTTGAGGCGTATAGGGTGCAACAACCTCATGCTCTATACCTTCCTCATTGCAAAATCTGGCAAATTCTGCTGAAGTATATTCACCACCACCATCAGTTCTTAACTTTTTCAATTTGCAGCCACTTTGTTTCTCAGTATGTAACTTGAACTTCTTGAACTGTGTGAATACCTCACTCTTCCTTTCAATGAG